GTAGCTGTAGTTTGGTGTAGTGGGTGGAGTGTGGTGGAGTGTGGTGTAGTAGGTGTAGTTTGTTAGAGTAGATGTCATTTCTTGTAGTAGGTGTAGTTTGGTGTAGTTTAGTGTAAATTGGTGTAGAAGGTGTAGTTTGGTGTAGTTTGGTGTAATAGGAGTAGCTTGGTGTAGTTTTGTGTAGTTTGGTGTGGTTTGGTGTAGTTTGCTTTATTAGGTGTATTTTGGTGTAATTTAGTGTAGTGGGTGTCTTTAAGTGTGGTGGGCGTAGTTCGGTGTAGTTTGGTGTAGTAGGTGTAGTTGAGTGTGGTAGGTGTAGTACGTGTAGTTACGTGTGTTAAGTGTAGTTTGATGCAATAGGTATACTTTGGTGTAGTAGCTGTAGTTTGGTGTAGTGGGTGGAGTGTGGTGTAGTTTGGTGTAGTTTGGTGTAGTTTGGTGTAGTAGGCGTAGTTTCGTATAGTAGTGTACTTTGGTGTAGTTTGGTGTGGTAGGTGTAGTTTGGTGTAGTTTGGTGTAGTAGGTGTAGTTTGGTGTAGTTTGGTGTAGTAGTTGTAGTTTGGTGTAGTTTGGTGTAGTAGGTATAGTTAACTGTTGTAGGGGTAGTTTGGTGCAGTGTGGTGCAGTATGTGTAGTTTGGTGCAGTTTGGGGTAGTTGTTGTAATAGGTGTATTTTGCTGTAGTAGGTGTAGTTTGGTGTAGTAGGTGTAATTTGGTGTGGTTTGGTGTGGTTTGGTGCAGAAGGTGTAGCCGTTTGGTGTAGTCTTGTGGAGCAGGTGCANTCTTGGTGTAGGAGGCGTAGTTTAGTGTAGTAGGTGTAATTTCGTGTAGTAGGAGTAGTTTGGTGTAGTAGGTGTAATTTGGTGTGGTTTGGTGTAGTTTGCTGTAGTAGGTGCAGTTTGGTGCTGCAGGTGTAGTTTGGTGAAGTTGGTGTAGTTTGGTGTAGTTTGGTGCAGTTTGGTCTTTCGGTGTAGTAGGTGTAGTTTGGTGTAGTTTAGTGGGGTTTGGTGTAGTTTGAAGTAGTTTGCTGTAGTAGGTGTAATTTGTTGTAGTAGGTGTAGTTTGGTGTAATAGATGTAGTAAGTGTGGTTTGGTATAATTTGAATTAGTAGGTGTACTTTGCTGTAGTTTGGTGTAGTAGGTGTAGTTTGGTGTAGTAGGTGCAGTTTGGGATAATTTGGTGTAGCAGGTTTAGGCTGGTGTAGCTTGGTATCGTTTGGTGTAGTATGTGTAGTTTGGTGTTGTATGGTGTAGTTTTGTGTAATAGGTGTAGCTTGGTCTAGTAGCTGTAGTCTGGCACTGTTTGGTGTCGTAGGTGTGGTAGGTGTAGTTTGGTGTAATAGATGTAGTATGTGTAGTTTGCTGTACTATGGTGTAGTTTCCTGTAATAGGTGTACTTTGGTGTAGTTTGGTGTAGTCTTGTGTTGTGAGTGTAGTTTGGTGTAGTAGGTTTAGTAGGTGTAGTTTGGGTAGTAGGTGTAGTTTGGTGTGGTAGGCGTAGTTTGAGTTAGTAGGTGTAGTTTGGAATAGTAGGAGTAGTCAGGTGTAGTTTGGTGTAGTAGGTGTAGTTCGGTTTAGTTGGTGTAGTTGGTATAGTTTGGTGTATTAGGTGTAGTTTGCTCTAGTTTGATGTAGTGGGTGTAAACAACACTACACCAAAATGCACCAAACATCACTAACATAAACCAAACTGCACCAAAAAACTACACGGACTACACTAAACAACACCAAATTACAACTACCACACCAAACTAAACGAAACTACACCTACTACACCAAACTACAACAAACTACACCAAACTAAGCCTACTACACCAAACTATAACAAACTACCGCAACAAACTATGCCAAACTACAACTACCACATCAAACTAAACCAAACTACACCTACTATACTATACTACAACAAACTACGCCAAATTAACTAAACATCATACACCAAACTGCACCAAACTACACCTACTATACCAAACTACACCTTCCACACCAAACAAGACCAAACTACTCCAAACTACAGCGAACTACTCCTACTACATCAAACTACAGGAAACTACACCAAATACTTCAAAGTACACCCGCTACAACAAACTACACCTACTACACCAAAATACACTAAAGTAAACCAGACTACACCGACTACACGAGTCTTCACCTACTATACCAAACTACACCTACTACCCCAGACTACACCAAGCCCCACCTATTGTACCAAACTACAACTAACTACACGTACTACACCAAAGTACACTGACTACACAAGTCTTTATCTACCACACCAAACCTCACCAATTACACCAAACTGCATCTGACAACACGTAATACACCAAACTACACCTACTACATCAAAATACATCAAACTAAACCAAACTACACCAAACTACAACAAACTCAACCTTCTAAACCAAACTACACCAAACTACAACAAAGTCAACCTACTAAACCAAACTACACCAAACTACAACTACTACACCCAATACTTCAAACTACATCTGCTACATGAAACTACACCCACTACACCAAACTACACTGACTATACCAATCTTCACCTACTACACCATACTACACTTACTATACCAAACTGCACCAAACTACACATACTACACCAAACTGCACTTACTACACAAAACTACACCTAACTACACCTACCACAACAAACTATACTTAATGCACTAAAGTACACCAAACTGCACCAAACTATATTAAACTACATCTACTACACCAAACTACACCAACTACACCACACTACACCCACTACAGAAAACTACACCTACTACACCAAACTAAACCAAATTACATCAACTATACCAAACTACTTCAAACTACACTATACTTCACCAAACTACACCTACTTCACCAAAGTACATTGAACTACACCGAAGTACTCCTACAGCACGAAACGTCACCAAACTACATCAAACTGCACCCAATACACTAAACTACACCTGCCACACTTAACTACACCTACTGCACCAAAATACACCAGACTACACCTGACACACGTAACTACACCTGCTACACCAACCTACGCCTGCCACACGCAACTACACCTAATACAGCAAACCACACCTTCTACACCAAACTGCACATACTACATCAAACTACACCAAACTACACGAAACTACACCTAATACACCTCTTACACCAAACCACACCAAACTGTACCTACTACACCAAACTGTACCTACTACACCAAACTACACCTACTACATCAAACTAAACCAAACTACACGTCCCACACTAAATTTCACGTACTGCACCAAACTACACCTTGTAAACCAAACTCACCTACTACACCAAACTACTCCTACTACACCTACCACACTAAACTACATCAAACTACACCAAACTAAACCTACTACACCTCTTACACCAAACTACACCAAACTATATCTACTATACCAAATTACGCCTACTACACCAAACTACACGTACCGCACCAAATTTCACCTACTACACCAAACTACACCTTGTACACCATACTACACTTACTACACCAAACTACACCAAACTACAACCAGTGAGCGGCACTTCTGCGAACAGTAGTTGTAAAACTTCTTTTATTTTCCTACGCGTTTCGTCTAACTGTCGCAGACTTTTTCAGGGAGTTTTACAAGTATAAATAAACGCCTGTATTTATAAGCCAAAGTTACAGGGGCCGATGACCGTAAAGGCTTTGCCGGACTTACGAACAGGAACAGGCGAAGTTGTGTGTGCAGTTTGGTGCCCTGCAAGGAAATTTCAATAGCTGTGTTAAATCAATAAACTTCGCTATTATTCCAGAAAATAAAACTAGAATGGTGTTATCGTTCTCACTTACTGCTATCGAACATTTCCGCGCAGAACTTGGCTGAACTAAACATCTTTGGCGTGACTCGAAAACGTTTCATAGGGGTATGCATTATTCAAGCGCATTGTTCACGTTCTCTGCCAAAGAACAACTTTCAAACATTTTGCAGATCTCTTTGCTATTTGCTTGCTTATTGTTAAAAAATTATCTGCATTTAAAACAAGTTGTAACTACATGAATAAAATACGAAACTCCCTCGAGCTTGATCTTGAATTGCGTAACTTAAACAATGAGCCCGTAGTATTTTGATCAGTAGGCTCCATGTAAGTTTCCATTCAAGTTAGGTAATGATGAAAAAAATCCGAAAAATATCCAGTTGTCTTCGAAAGCATAACAATAAATTTGAACGAACAACGAGAGGCAAAGGTCTTTATTTTTAGTAACCCAGTGATAGCCATGCCCTTCCCTGCGGTCTTCTTCTAAATTTTGCCACTTCACATATGCTAATAAAGTTACGAAAATTGAATCAGATATGGACTTCTAGACAGCCTGAATGAGGCTAACTGTAAACTAAAAAATTTGTTATAAATTCTCACGATTAGCTGAGCTCTTTTTGCTTGCAAATAAAACAACGAATTGTAAGGCGCAATTAATAAAAACTCTACCTCCGGCAGCTGGCAACTGAAAGAGGACAAATGAATAATCTAAAGCTCAAGGTCCCACCTTATCCTCTGCCTTGTTCGGTCAGTTTCGACATCGGAGGCTAGATCATCCGCATCAGCCTCTTCGTCCCCAGTCATGCTTACAGCGGGGAACCTCTGCAATAAACCAGTTCTTGTTAGGGCCGATAGTCGGCTGAAACATCGAGCGATCTGCAGCTCTGTCAACCACTCAGTCTTGAAGAAAAACTTCTGGCCAGTATCGTCTCTTAAACTCTTCATTTGGGAATCCACATCTGAAGCAGTTGTTTTCTTACCTATTTCCTCCCCTGTCCAGAACACATCCAGGAGATACCTCTCTGGGAGAAGAAAACTACTTTCTGCGTTATCCGAAGGGCCCATCCCAGGTCCACTTGGGATTGTTCGTCCGGATCTTTGGGCGAGGTATGACTATGAACGTAGCCAACACCTACGGAATGGACAGCCTCCATCCATTTTCTCTAGATCTTGTTATGGGCGGATTCTTTTGCCAGCTTCACAAAGTGTTTGCCGACGTTAAGGTGCTTTTAGAGGGTAGCGAACTACTGATACACCTTCATACACCCTTCCTCTTGAGAACGAAATATCTAGCTTTCTTCATCTGTCTGTGACGGATTGGGCAGTTCTCGTGATCGTCCAGGTTCAGTCATCTGCGCACGATGTAGATAACTACCTGCTTCTACGTTTGGGTTGCTGAAGCTTTCCATCGTAACGAGCCAAGTCGGACCTTGGGGTGTTTCAAACCGTGCCAGCTGGTCTGCGCTATAAAACGTTCCACCTCCAATATCATAAGCACGCCACATTCTCACGCCTCTATTCTTGTACTAGAAGTTATTCAATGCCTGTACACCGGTCATGGTATGTTTGCTCATTGTTTGTGCGGATGGCTTTGACACTCTGCTACATAGCAGCCCTTGACTCTAGCCGGCTTAGGTGCAAGAAGACAGTTTTGTTTTGCTTTGTTTTGTTTTTTTAATCGAAACCTTTTTTTGATAGATAAATTAGTGAGCATACTTGATTTAATTTCCTGCGCGTCTCGTCTGACATCAAGGAGTTTTTTACAAGTATGGTAAATCTCACTTATTTAACATCTATTTTCGACCTGTACCCAAACTGTGAAGCAAGCGTTACGTTTTCTCCAGAATGTTGTGCATCAGTGACATTTTTTGGACGTTACATGCATGGGTACGTGATGTGTTTGGAGGTAACAGACTTGGTGAAGCAAACGGAAGATATCCAAAACGACGCAAGGTGTGCCTAAGGTGCCTAAGGTGCCTAAGGTGCCTAGGGTGCCTAAGGTGCCTAAGGTGCCTAAGGTGCCTAGGGTGCCTAAGGTGCCTAAGGTGCCTAAGGTGCCTACGGTGCCTAAGGTGTAACCCTCAAACAAATCACCAACTCGTACATGTAACGTGTCTAATTTATCATTTACAAACGTTTCCGACAGAAAAAATATTGGTTAAATTATGGTGACCAAAAAAGCAGCGTCAATGTGTAAGTCAAACTAGGACGTTTTAAGACGTATTTCAAGCTCACTTGACTGCATGTTTTGAGTTCTCGCCACTTCTAAGTAAACCTTCAGAGTTACCATGTGAATTTTTATTTAAGAAAGCTCGACCCTAGAAGCTAAAGCTATGTAATTTTGATCGATAATCCCATTCTTGCAAGACGGTTTTGAGAAGATTTTTCAAATTTAAGCTTCATTTCACGTAACAGCTCATCAAAACGAAATGAAAAGTATGTAGGGCCAAATTGTATCTTTAAATGGTGAGTAAAGTACACGCGTGGAATTTTGGAACTTGAGGAGAGTTGAGGAAGTGTGACGAGGAGCGTTTGAAGAACGGTAAACAGAAGTGGGGAAGCTGAGACATGTGTAAGAGTGAGTGTGGTTTTCAGGTTTTAAGGTTTTAAAATCACGGAGCAAAAAATATTTGAGGCCTAACTTATAAGAGGGGAGGAACTAAGTAATTATAAGCGGTTAAAGCTCGATGGTTTGGTTCTATAAAAGTGTTGACGATGTAATAACCTTAAATTAATCAAACGAAAACAAAACAGGACATGAATTAGAAAGGCCGAAGCTTTCAAGTGAAGTAATGTCGAGTTTGGAAGTGAGTGCGAGCCTTAGGCGAAAAGTATGATAGTGGAAATTTTAAAATTGTGGATTTGGAAAAAACCTGGAAGTTTTGAAGTGTACATCAGTTCAATTTTTCACGCGTTAAAAAATAGTATAGACGACGAAAGAAAGACTTCTAATTTAACTATTACGGCCATAAGGCTAGTCATTAAAAGTTAAACCCTCTTATAAAACAGATCGCCCGTGTTTTAAAAAAATATAAAACCTGCAAACCAGTTTCTGAAAGGGAAAGAAACTTTGAATGACAACAACTCATTTAAAACCATCGAGACCATATATGCTTATGTTATGAGCTATCATTTTACTTATCTTTATGTTAAGTAAAGCTGTTTACTTTCTAGGTGCCGATTAAACTTGTGACTTCTAAGGCTAAAAAAAAGAAAAAAAAAC